TAAAGAAGAATATTAGAGAAGATACATCCTACTATAACTAATGTCGAGATGTTAACTAATTGTCATCTTAGCAACACTCCCCAACATTAATATAGAGATAGTATATTAAGGGAAAAATTAATATTCAAGGAAGAAGATTAAAGAAAATAACTCACAACTTACAATCCATTAAGCTTCAAAGTAGCAAAACCAAGATGGAAGAGTATAGCTCCTCATTTGGAGACTAAACATGATAGAAAATATAAAGAAAACACTGATCTAAACTGAGGTAAAGAGTATATGTGAATTGGTGGTTTAATAAGAAGGAAAATGGGTGTATTTATAGGTATTTTGAGGTGACTGGGTCTGATACCCGACTGAGTATGTAGAATACCCGACCGGGTATCCTTAATCTCTCGGAAGGTGCTAAAATCACATCTAGGTTGGGTGAAAACCCGACCGGGTTACGTATCAAATCGGATATTTTCCACGTTCTCTTGATCTTCGACACGTTCTTTTGTTCTTGTCAACTCAACCCGACAGGGTTTTGTACCAACCCGACCGGGTTTCGGTGCACAGCTTCCCTTTGGCTTCATATGTCACTTCCAACCCGACCGGGTTATGTTCCAACCCAACCGGGTTTGCTACCAGAATTTATTTCCACCATTCATCTTGCCTTCTTTTGGTACCTATAATACTCTCTTGCATCCCTTATGTTACTTACAACGAAATACACACTAAAAATACAAATTACAACCTACAAAATAAATCTAGAAAGTACATCACAAACTAAACTAAACAATTAAAATCAACAATCAAACAATACTAAAATAACAAACTTATCCACTAGAAAATAGTGGTCATTCAAGAACAAAATGATAATGTCATATTCTCACATGTGGAACACATCAATAGTAGCTCAATCATCAACAAATGACCTGAATACATTATTAGTGACACAACCACTAATGATCATAATGAAGGTGTACTTGGTGAGAGAGATACCTATGAACATGTTGAGAACACTTCAAGTGAACCTCTCATCACACAAAAAATGATTTGATTTGTCAGAGGGAATGAAAACATCTATGAAAACAACTTGCTATTCTAGATGACTATTTACTATGTTCTGTTGAGCATGGGTGTTTATCGCACATTGATGAGGATTCCGTCTCATTAGAGAAATTATTTTGTCTATTTCCTTTCGTAATTCTATCATATTATGATCATATATAAAAATATAGATTCATTATACTATGTAAATGGTAGTCGATCCAATTACTAGCGAAGTATAAAAATTAATGACTGTTACATACGTGTAGACCTGCACAAAACCGGGCCGGCCCGCCCAGCCCGCCCAACCGGCCCGCACAAATGGGCGGGCTTGGGCATATATATTTACCCACCGGGCCGGGCCGGACCCGGCCCGCAATAACATATGGGTGGGCTTGGGTTAGGGTGTAGGCCCGTTCGGGCCGATAAGCCCGGCCCGCTACTTTTAAAATATATATATATATATATATATATATATATATATATATATATAATTTATTTAATTTATTTACATGTACATTTATATTTTCTAATATAATTTATCTTTATACATATTTATAGTTTATTATGTTTAAATTTAGGTTTTTAGATCTGAACCACTAGCCCAACTAATATAGTATCTATTTTTGTACTTAAAGATAATACTTTGTGCTTGAATTTTAAATTTTAGATATAGTTTCTCATTATTATTTTTGTGTAAGTATTATTTTTGTATGTGGTGAAAGACCTATAAACATTACACGCACATTAACAATTTTTTAAATGTTGTAATATTAGTTTTAAAAGTATTAAAAAAAATCGAAAAATATAAAGTTTATCCGGGCCCGGAGGCCCGATGGACTACCCGGCCCGCTTTTATGGGCGGGTATGGACATGGGGTTAGGCCCGTTTTTGCGGGTTGGGCCGGGCCCGCCCACATATGATGGGCAAAAAAATTATAAAAAGCCCGGCCCGAGCCTGGCCCGAACCCGTTTTTGTGCAGGTCTACATACGTGTTAATGTCAAGAAGTTCGTTTATTGTCTAACAACCTTTCTTGTTGTACTCACTCTTGTACCCATTTGTATACTTATCATGTCTGTGAAAGATATTTTTTTCTGTAAAATCTGTTCACAGATAAAATATGTCTTAATTTGTCTGATCTATGCAAAGTTTCACAGGAAAAATAAGAAATATTTTGTCTGTGAATGGATTTCTATTCATACACAAAAGACTATCTTTCACAAACATAATTAGCACTACAAAAAAAACATGGAATTAGCGGATTTTTGGCAGGGTTTTCTCAAAATTGGCAAGAATTTTGGCAGGGATATGCCAAATCCGTGCCCAAATAAATCAGCTTGACACAAACTATTTGGCACAAATTTATCGATAATTCCGTGCCAAATCCATGCCAATCTCGTATATTTTTGTTGTAGAGTATAAAAGTGTAGTATATGAATTGGTGGGTACAAACATCAAATTTGATTGTTTAAATCTTAGCCGGTATATAATTGTTTAAAAAGACTACTTACTACCTACTAATCTCAAATGTCAAATGTGGAATGCATGCAATACAAATGTGGAATGCATGCAATACAATCGCTGTTAAAACTACGTATCATTTTCATATAAAAGTCTCCGTCCAACTTTGTTTATTTGATGGTTTAAACTGGAGTCAGTTTGAAAATATCCAAATCCTTTTAACTCATTCCACTAAAATTTATGAAGTTCTGACAAAATTGGATGAATCGAATAGTTTTGTTGATTTATGAAAAAATTATATTTAGATATATTTTATTAATGAAATAAGGAAAAAAATATATTTCAAAACATTTAAAATGATGAAAAAAGAAAAGTAACTTTAACTATACTTTTTGTTATTGTTACACAATTCAGCGCGAGAAATTAATAGTTACGTATTTGGAAAAAAAATTGATAGACAAACATGATAAGTCAAAAAATAGGGTTACCAAACGGGCTTTACGAAGCAAAAGATTACTCCTGTCTCATAATAAAGTTTGATTGTTTGAAGTTTGACTTCACCTATTTTTAGGTAAGATAACTATATCTATTGATCGACTTTCAATAATTTTTTATACACCATATTCATATATATAGACCAAATAGAATATTATAGTTAATTTAAATATAAATAATAATATAAAATACGTAGTATGAAATAATAATATAAATCAATTATATGTATAATAGCATTCAAAACATTAAATGTAACTCCTTGATACTAAAATATATTTAAAAAATTAAGAGCTTGTTTGATAACATTGAAATTGGCTGAATCAGTTAAATTTGCTGAAATTGATGAAGATCTAGCTGAAGGGATTGAATCAAATGAATCTGGTGAATTATAGAAAAATTACACCCCATATGAAAATAGATTTCATTATTAAAATAAAGGAAAAATTACGGGAAGTATGAAATTAAAAATAGTCGAATGAGTGTTTTACAGTAACTTTAGTCATTTCAATAAAAAAAAAAAAGTAACTCGCTTTTTGTTTATTTTTCACTATAACATTGTAGTAGGCCTAGAACTTGGAACCGTAAAGCCAGGAAAATCGAACGGAACCGAATCAAATTTTCTGGTTCGGTTCGGTTCCCATAATTTTGCACTTCAATTTTTTTCGGTTCGGTTCTTATAGTGTTTGATCAGTTCGGTTCCTATTATTTTGGACTTCAGTTTTTTCCGGTTCGGTTCTTATAGTGTTTGATTGGTTCGGTTTCGGTTCTGGTTCCTAAACAGGAACCAAACTTCTTATATGTTGCATGAGTACTCTTCATTTGAGGTGCTTCTTGGTGGGTTTTTTTATGAAATTTTGTGAGATTGTTTTTCATGAAATATAGATTATGACCACCAAATTTGAGCTTAAATTTCAACCGAAAAGTCAATTAAATAAATTATTAAAAAATACTATATCAATATATATATAAAAACGCAATTATTTCAATATTTTATTTAACTCACTTCCTGATTGAATAATATACACTTCATGTAGAATATGCTCACATAATCTCATAAAAAAATCTTCTCCGAACCACCTCAACTAAAGGTGGCCAGACGGCATTCCAGTCAGAAAATTCTTGTCAAGAATATTGTCTTACATAATATACTTTATATATTGTGGACCAGACCAATCTGAGTAGTTGTTATTTTACTACATTAGTCCACTTTTAAATATATTGCTTGTTTGTAATTGTATTTGTTATTTGAGTTCACCTGTAAAGTAATTAATATTTGCTGATTACGTTGTTATTTGCTCATAGTAAATTACTAATATTAATCATCAATCATTTTGTTACGTAGTGTTACATAGTTTTTACTCATGGTGCATGCATTACTAGTAGAATAATACGGAGTATAGTATTATTTTGGGTTGAACTATAGATGTGTACCTTGGAGCTATTAAACTTTTTGCTTAACAATTGATGTCTATTTTAAACGTTTATGTTTTTGCTATGTTGAATTAATTTTTGCACTTGGATATTTTTGTGATATTTGGACATTGTGATATCATGTATGTATAATATTATGGTCATAATTTCATGATTTGACATTTGATTTTTTATGTAACTAAAGGAAAATGTGTTTAGTATAGGAGGATCATAAATTTTTTAAGGAAACAAAAAAGGTGAGAATCGGACCGAAATTAATCAGAATTGAATCGCATTTAACAACTACATTTTTAACTAAAACGGAATCGAGTTAAACGTACGTCTATAATTTTTAATACGGTTGCATAAAATTTTAGCAAGAAACGATCTCAGACCTACATTTTAATTAGTGTGGGAATCAAATGTAACCAAATCAGGGTTTTATGTGTAACTCGTTGATATTAGCAGGTCGCAATTCTTTTTCTACCATCAGCAGTGCTGAATAATGATTTACCTCACCACTATAACAGTTATAAACAATTACTCCAATTTATTTAAGACATTGTATACTGAGCTTATACTTAACTTTGACAAATGGACAGATATATAGAATATTCCTAGTACATGACAATCGGATAATATAAGCATAACGAAATGGCCTATTAGTACGGTAACGCCGATCATTTTACGAGTGGATCGTACGGCGTAGCCACCAAGTAAAGATCGTCTTTCTTCCCGGCGGTAAGTCCCGGCAGCTCCGCCAAGTCCAAGCTCCGAGAATACTCACGTCCTCGCGGCAGTTTCCAGTCAAAATGGAATAGCAATTTAGCCAAGGGGAGATACACATTGGCCAATCCAAAGGATAGCCCCGGGCATATCCTCCGCCCGCTCGAAAACGGCAGGAATTCAAAGTTATTCCCCAAAAAGTCAACGCCGCTATTCTCGAACCGCTCCGGCAGAAAGCTGTCGGCGTTCTCCCAGTAAGCCGGGTCGGTGCTGACCGCCGAGAGGTTGACCATGACCCATGATTTGACCGGGATGGTGTACCCGTTTATTTCCGTCTCCGCCAAGCACTCTCGAGGGATAGTGATGGGCCCGGGCGGGTGGAGCCGAAGACTTTCTTTGACCACGAGTTTCAAGTATTTCAGCTCTTCCACGTCTTTTAGGTCAAACCCGTTTTTGTCAACGAAGGCTCTTCTTACTTCCGCTTGAGCCTTGGCTAGTACCGCCGGACTCCTCAGCATCTCAACCATCGCCCATATGATCGTCATGGACGACGTCTCCGTTCCGGCGGTGAACATGTCGAGCACCACCGCCTTGATGTTGTCGTCGGTGATCGGGATGGCGTCGGTGCGCTTCATCCTCAGTAGAACGTCGATCAAGTCCTCGCCGCCTAGCTCCCCGTTTCCTTTATTTCCGGCGGCTAAGCTCTTCTGGTGGCTCTCCACGACGGCGTTGAGGATCGCGTCGATCCTTTGGTGGATCCCGAGGAACTTTCGCCTCAACGGGCTGAGCCCGTGGAGAAATCTGAGCGAGGGGAATACATCCGCCACGTCGAACCCTCCGAGCAAGGAAAGAAACTCCTTTATGATGGTGATGAACTCGTCGCCCTCCTTGAAAACGCACCCGAAAGCCGACCGGCAAGTCATTGAGCTCGTGAACTGGAACACGAGCTCGGACAGATTCACCGGTTGGCTGCCGTGGGAGGCGACTGCGTCCAGCAGGCGAGACGCTTGGTCAAGCCTGATGGATCCGAAGGTGTGCACGTTCTTTGAGCTGAGGAGCTCGACCGTGCAGATCTTCCGCATCTGCCTCCAGTAATCCCCATACGGGGAGAAGACGATATCAGAGCCCCGGTAGCAGACGATCTCCGGGAGCAGGAGTTTGGGCCGGGAGGCGAAGGAGAGGTCGTGGGTCTTGAGGACGGCCCTCGCCATGTCAGGAGACGAGGCGATGACCGCAGAGACTTGTCCAAGCTGGACGTGCATGAGGGGGCCGTGTATCTCGGCGAGATACTTCAAGCGGCGGAGCGGGAAAGCGCCAACGAGGTGGTGCATGCTACCGATGAGGGGAAGCCTCCACGGCCCTGGCGGCAGTTTCGCACCTCTCGATGACAACGATCTCTTCATCTTCCACTCTCCGCAGACCGCTGCAAGCAACCCTAGGAAGGAGAGGAAGAGGAAGAAAGATAAGATGCTCGAGAGGTACTCCATCCTTTGATAGGATCGGAGATGGCTGTTTCTGCTTGAGCAATTCGTTCTGGTACGTAGGTTACGTTTGATGGGCAACGGGTGTTCTTAGTTAATTACTCTGTATTACTTGGTTAAATATAGGGTATTGGTGTTTTCACTCATCACATATATATATGTATTGTGTAAGCATTGAACATTCCCCAAGTGAACAGTGTCAGTATTTAGGTAGTCCATTTATGTTTCGATCAACTCCATTTTGAGAAATTTAGATATACATGCATAATAAATATAGGCTAAAGGGTCAAATAGGTACATGAACTAACTTAAATTGTTCAATTAGCCCCTTATATAGGAGGTTCTGCCTGGCCGTCGCCAATTGGGGCGGTTCCCGGTGGAATTGTTTGATGAAATTTTTTGAGAATCTTCTTCATTAAGTCTAGTTTACTCATACCAAATTTCAGCTAAAAATTCAACCGGAAAGGCAGTCAAATGATTTTTTGAAGATAACTGCGCAGTTAAACAGTGCAACACATTTCGGAAAATCATTTGACTGCCTTCCCGATATTATTTTTAGCTGAAATTTGGTATGGGTAAACTAGACTTAATGATGAAGATGCTCAAAATATTTCATCAAAACATTCCACCGGGAACCGCCCCAATTGGCGACGACCAGGCTGAACCTCTTATATAAGGGGCTAATTGAACACTTTAAGTTAGTTCATGTACCTATTTGACCCTTTAGCCATAAATATAATATGTATAAATATAAGTAGTATAAACACATTTTAATTAGGAGATTCTATGTGAAATTCTCACATGAGAAAGATGAGTTAGGATGTTTGTAGCTAGTTGGACTATTTGTAGTTTGGACTATTTGTAGTTCCACACTAGACTGGAATATAGCAAAATATAGTGAAATATCCATACCCCATTCGATTTACTTCAATTTCTTATGCTTACACACAAGCCAAAAGCACATTTTTACTATGTTATACTACTGCACAAAATTAGTACTTAGTGGTTAATTTATTTTGAGGAACACACAAATGACTATAGTGCTGTCAAAAAGCTAAGCTATAATAATGTTTAAGAATTGAAAGTGTAAAATGTCAAATATATTAGCTCTGCACACTTTAAAAAGACAAATATGACTAGTTTTGATTTTTCAATAATAAGACTAAGGTAGTTTCTATGGTACCCATAAGGTACCATACCTTTGTCCACATGGACCAATGAAAAGGTAGCAGTTGAATTATTTAAATCTAAATTAAAATTGATAAAGTGATGTGGTCCAATCAAATGAATGCTAGGTACGGTACCCATATTTTTAGAAAGGTACCGGAGTTGTCACCCTAACCTTTATTAAATTAATAATGCACTTTTCTTTTAATTATACTTCCTACCCTTGTCCATATTGCTTCTTATGGAAACATTTGCCGCCTCCCCATATGCCGGAAAAGCCATAAAAAATGTTCACTAACTTTTTTAAGTTTATTAGTTTCCTATCGAAAAAGCTATCGGAAAAATTTTCCACATGTCACGGTGACCTGCTTCACGATGGCAGGGACACCGGTGATGACAACAGTGTCACTCGTGTCGACAATGGTGATATTAGGAAAAAGGAAAAATAATTAAAATAGCCCCAAATTTTGAAGACATGTGAGATATATTAACACCTCAAACTTGCATATGTAATTTAAATAATCTATAATTTATATAAAAAGTTATTTTCGCACCATTGTTAAGTATTATTTCTTTCAAAATGTAAATTTATGGTGTTAATTGAATAATTTAAAATATTTTAGAATTCATGAAAACACAATTAAAATTCTAAACTTCCATTGAGAAATAAATAATGTTACCCTCAATCTATATAATTGCAACAATTTTAATTTTCTATTTGAAATTATGCATTCAACCTCATAAATTTACATTTTTGAAAGAAATAATACAAGACACAATGGTGCGAAAATAATTTTTATATAAAGTTTGTGGTATTTAAATTACATATGCAAGTTTGGGAGTGTTTACATCACACCCCTTCAAAGTTTGGAGTATTTTTATTATTTTTCCCTTAGAATAAATGTGACATACTAAATTTGTTGTGACATTGTCCTTTTCCGATTTTATTACTATTTTAGTCACATTTTAATTGATATATAAAAAGAAGTTAGTGTTTTGAGAATCATTTTCAATGTACTATTAATGAAAACCAGCACAAAACACTCACCTTGAATTATTTACTCTATTTTAATTTCTGTTACTTTAAGTTATATAGAAATTATCTCTAATAAGAATAAAACTAGGGTTAAAAAACAGGACTTTTTATGTTTTTATTCCAAAATAGGATCATATTACTCCTATTCGAAAACATAACATTTTTTTATTTCGTTCTTAGCCCTCCTTTAAATAGGAGTAAAATATAGTTAAGAGTTAGAATTAAATGTTTTAATTCATAATAAAATCATTAAAAAATAATAAAATTGAAAAATAATAATAAACAATTAATACAATATTAATAAAATAAAATTTTAATTTTTTAAAAAAAAATAGTAAAAAAACCATAAAAAAATAAAAAAGAATAGGGATGCTTTTCCCACCGCTTTTACTGCCTCCTTACACCACCACCTCCGGCCGGTTTAAAAAATGTTTTTTTTTTAAAATGCCATTTTTCTGTAAATGCCAAAAAATGACATATTACTCTTTGATAATGCCAAATGTTTCATTGAATCTGCCATTAATATGGCACTTCTAATGCATGTGGCATTTTTTTTACGGTGACCGAATGTGGTGGTGTGGGGGTGGTAGAGGCGGTGGTAAATATTATTAATGCTTTTTTAATGTTTTAAAAAAAACATAAATTTTTATTTTATAAATATTTTATAAATTTTTTATTATTTTTTTACGATTTTTTATGATTTTATTACGAATTAAAACATTTCAATAGCTATAAGGGTATATTTGTCCAAACACACATAATTAGTCCTACTAGTGAGTTTAAAAACTATGTAATCCTATTTGTGATTATTGACTACCTTTTGCTCCTATTTAGGTAATTAACCCTAAGTTATATTTTGAATGTAAGAATTTTTTTAACTAATCCTCATATGTCTACATACACAAGTGAGTTACTCCGTTATCTTATAGTGTTTAAACTCCGTTATTTGACTTATCTCATGAGGATCCTAGCGCTTAACGTTGTTACAACACCGGAAAAAGGCGATAAATAGTAACTCTGATTTTCAAAAGTGCCCGGAAAATTAAAAGAAAAATACTGGAAGATGCGTCTCGTGAAGATCACCTCTAAACCATCTTCGTCTTTGAATTTTTGGGATTTGTTTGGACTTTTTTTTAAACGAATTTGTTGATATCACTTTTCATATAGGCCTCCGGCGTGCACGGGCATATGGGCCTACTGCTGCTCCTCCGACTGAGGCACCGTGATTTATATCTCTCTCATCTGCCCTGTCGGGTCGGGGTGTGGGGGGCTCCGGGGTGGGATATTCCACCTTTTGGATCAAAGATAAAAAAGTCAAGAAAAGAAACTAAAAATAAAACTCCATCTAGGCGGCATGACCTTGTGTAAGAAATAAAACTCGAGGTCAAATATAGTGGTGCCCCAAGAGTTTGGTAAGAAATACACAGCCAATGTTATGTAACCCAGCCAAAGCTGTAGTCTAGATTTATTATAAAAAAATACTTCGTATAATAATAATAATTATTATTATTATTATTATTATTATTATTATTATTATTATTATTATTATAAATTGTTATAATATGATTAAAATGTACGGAGTACTATTCATAAAATATGACTAATTATATTTAATTTTCAAAAAAAAAACTCATTCAATTAATTATATTAAAAGAATTCAAACTTGTATACGTAGTACTTGTTTCAAAGTCAAATACTCCTCCCCCGTCACTTTTAAATGTCACGGAAGAGGGTGACACGAGTTTTAAGAAAAATGTGTTTGTGTGGTTGATAGTAATTGATAAAGTAAGAATAAAAGTAAGAATAAAGTATGAATGATTTTGAGCCACACAAACTTTACCAAAAAAGGTATGGAACAATTAAATAGGGACATCCCAATAAGGTAAAATGAGACATTTAAAAGGAGACAGAGGGAGTAGCTTTTTATATATATAAAATGTTTCTCGTAAGAAAATGTGTTATACGAGTACTTGCTTCTATTTAGGAGGTTCATATTAAACCCTTCATCCGTTAAAAGTTGGACTAATTTGAGTTTGCACCTCATTTTATTGATCAGGTTAGACTTTGCAATCCGTTGTCAAAATCTTTGTATTTGCACCCAACCCCGTATGACAAGACAAACATGCTCTCGATTGGGAATATGTTGAAGACCAATAGAATTGTTAATAGAGGGGAATTTTTGTCTTTTCATACACGATTGGGGTGCAAATACAAAATTTTTTAAAAACATGGTGCAAAGTCCAATTTGAACAATACAATGGGACGCAAACTCAAATTAGCCCTTAAAACTTTGTCAAGTTTGATCAACACGTGGATTAATAATGTAAAAACTGTGTAGATGAAGTTTGTGCAGAGGAGATAGAATTAACTAAAATAACAAATTCTTTTCTTAAGATGGAAAGTGGCAAATTTAGTGGGATAAAAATGATTGACAAAATTTTAAGTAACGGAGGGAGCAACAATAGAAAGAGTTTTGGGAACAAAAACAAAATAAAACCCATGCATATATGAATACAATAAAACACGTGGCACGTCAAATATACCGTGACTATGAATATACTTTTATAATTACTAAAATATAATTTTGAATATAATTATAATCACTAAAATTTAGTATGTCACGATTTAGTTTATTATCTATATTTTGATTATATATTTAAAACTATTTCATCAAAATTAAGGGCCTGTTTACTAACAGAAATATTTTCTGTTTTTTGAAAATTTTGGAAAACTGGAGATAGAAAAGTCAGAAAACATGTTTACCAAAGTGTTTTCCAAAATCAAAAAATCGAAACATATCTCATTTTTTACGCGTTAAATGGAAAACACGTTTTACTAGTTTTCTAGTTTTAGAAAACTCGCTGCTACAGTAATGTTCATTTACTCGCACGCCTTCCTCCTCCTACCACCT